AGATTATCTCTTGAAATTATCTGTGCATAGTTCAGCATGAGCTATGTGAATGTGAGAATAAACTTGCTGGATCAAGCCTCAGCCCTTCTAGTCACCATCCCATCTTACATGGTGGTCCACCAGATGGCATCTTGGAAGTCCACAAATAGGAGATTAAAACAGACCTCATCTCCTGTGATTGCTGCCTAAAGCTCAAAGGGCGTCTTCTTGCAACTTGAAACAAATCACTCAATTCTGCCTTTGTTCGGATTAGTCCTGTAAGCATTGTGCAGAACTTGATATATTTTACAGATGTTTTTATATAGTTTTCTATTTGGTAAGCAATTCAGTATCTTAAGAACTTTCTTGTTATTTTACCTCTTCTTATGGGTACTTTGGCAGTTCTTATAATTGTGAAGACCAAGCCATAACATGGAGGAATTCAAGTGGTTAGGTATGAGCATAATTTCTAGAGATCATGAGCATGGCTTTTAGCAGAAGCAAACAAGAGGCACTAAAAGAAACAAAATAATCTCTTGTTTAGGTTGTCTAATTCATATATGTGACATTGCAAAATCCAGGTTTCCTTGGCACATATACATGCAAATTCTGGGATCAGAAAGATACTATGGTGCATACAGAATTGTAGTGCTACCTTAGAGGTAGACAATCTTTTCAGGCATTTGGAATTTTAAGTGCATATTGTGGTTGTTCTCACAAAATGTCTACCGTGAAAACTTGCCTATGCACCAAATTGCTATCCCAGGAGGTGTGATCAGTCACAGGATGCCAAGTTATTAGAAAACAAGCTGGTGAGGTTTCTTCCCACCAGTCCATCTAGTCCTTTCACAATGTTTTCTACCATTCCAGCTTTTCACTTTTGCCCATGCAAACTTCCAAAGCACTGAACTATAGCCATCCACCATTTTTATTTACTAAAAATGCTTCTGGCATAAATATTTTGTAAGAGTCCGGCACTTTGCTAGCTTCAGGAGAGCAAGGAACCTGATGGGCACCAAGGAAGGTGCCCCCAAATATCAGATTTTCTACTTAAGAGATTAATGTACTTTGCATCTCTACTGCACCATGAAAAAACCTAGCTTGTTCCAACTGATGGCAAAGAAAAGCATGAACATGCAGGGATAGAATTGCCTTCAGAGCATGATTGGCTTCAGCAGTATCCTCCGTGGCTTGCCGGTTTCATTGCAAGAACAGTCTTGTTGTGCTCTGAAATGCTGCTTTCTGGCCAGAACAACTGGAGACAGCAATGGTAGTTCTGTGATTCACTGGCCATTAACCTCTCATTAATCACTCTGCTTCATGAATTTCCAGCTGCTTTCTGGCTACAGCATTAAAATCAATAAGACTGCTTTTTAAAACTGTGTCTGTGAAATCCTGCCTACTTTACAAGCAGAACTGTGCTGGATTGGAAGCATCTGATGTTCTGAAAATATAGAAGAAATGTAACAATATCCCTTGCAGTGCTGAATTATTTCCTGTGGTAGAAAAGGGGAAGCGGTAATAGAAATGGAGCAGTTTGCAGTAAAGATCAGATCTGAAATCTCATTTCTTATGATGCTCAGGAAGGGGAAAAAAGACATCTGGAGGCTCAAATCTAGGGTTGGCTGGGTCTAAAAGATTTTCCTCCCCAATGAATTTTATTTCTTTAAATCCTTACTGTCTGGAGATTATTGAGTTGTAGTCCTAATGTTCTTGGTTAATGTTTCTTATTAACTGACAAGGAGAAAAGAACATCTATTCCCAATATTCATTTGAGCATTCTTGGCTATTGAATCCTACAGACTCCCTTTATGTATCATATCATATTTAGGGCCAGCATAAAACTCTGATAACATTTAGTGGCAAAAGTATGCAAGCATTCAGAAAATCTGACAAAGGGTGAATATTTTTTGTATAGAATTATATGCATACTCTTTAATTAATTTGGATGAATTGGAGAGAAGGTCTGGTTCTGGAAGGAAGATATGACTCTTCCCCTAAAACTAATATTTTATGGCATACTATTAAAATAGTATGTTAATGGATGCACCTTGTTAATGGATGAGTGAGGAAGTTGTACAGCTATCCACATGTTCCTTAGCACTTCAGCTAAATAGGCGTATAGTTTATTGTGCACCAAAATTTACTAGAAACTCCAGAATGCAGCTTTGACATACTGTCCACAGAAATCTAGTCAGGTATCCATATCTGTAAAGTATGTTTGGCGCTTAGAGGTGGGCTCAATCGATGGTTTGTCCCTCCACAATAAAGAGGATGTTGCTATAATTCTGGCTGGGAATTTACTCTCACAGTTTTAAAGCTTGTGCTGTTTTTATCTCAGATGCCTTCCTGAAATCTGTGTGGTTCTTGCTTCTTGGATTTGTTAGTGATGTGGGGTTTGACAACAATCTGTCCTATAGTATTTCTGTTCTGGGAATAGTAAATCTCTCACAATTTACAAGCAATAAATCCTTAGGAAACCTAATAGAAGCGGGATATTGGAAGGTGAAGGGATGCATATAAAGATCCTTTTGACAGGAGAGCATGGACATGTTTCATGATGATTGGGCTGTCAGGAAGCCAAGACTGGAGCATTCTGTCCCTGATACTATCTTGGATGCATGCAGTCATCTCTCAGTCTTTCCTTTTGTTTGTGAACAAGAGCCTCTGCCAACCATACCGTCACCTATTCTAAGAGAAAAATAATTTGCTCTGTGTGTGTGCAGTTGGGCAAAAGGAACAGATTGGGTTGGAGATGGAAGCATTCCCATTTTTTTCTGTAGAAAAATGTCCCCATGTCCTGGGAGATGGCAGAGCTTTCTAAATGTCAGAGACTAAAAAAAAGAAAAGAAAAGTATTTGTATTGCAAACGCCTATTTGTAGTAAATCCAGAGTGCCTCTTTAACTTGATGCCATCATGTGAAACCTAAGAGAGCACATTCTTATACATTTGCACTATACTCAGTGCGTGTATAGTGTCTGGGAACAATTCAAGATGCTGGTAATAATTTACAAAATCCTGTGTCCTTGGAATCCGTGTACCTTGAAGATTGCTTTTGTCCACCTCTACCAAGATCAACCAGCTTTCTTACCCTACCACGGAATTGGGGTTATAGATTGGCAGGGAAATGACTTAGAATCTTGCAGGTCATGGAGTTTGACAATGTTAATGTCAGAGATGACTTGCACCTGATTCCTTCTGTTTGCACACTGGACTTGCATGGTTACCAGTCTTGCATTTATTTTCAACTTTCAGTCTTTCCAACCCAGCAGAGCGTTAGAAAGAAGTGTTGGGACTCTGTCAATCAGTCTGTCAGTATAGTAAATCTTGAAAATGGAACAGAACAGAAATTTACTGTATGTTTATGTAGGGAGTCGGAGGGACTTTGAATTCAGAAAGAGGCCAGATCAAGCTGCGGCTAGAGAGAAAAAAATCTCTCCCAGTTCTCCCAATACATCCCCAGGGGAGAAGCCATTGGGCAGGCCTGCGAAGTTGGGAGTTGCTCCACTCTAAAGGCTGATCCAGATTTCCTGCTTGCCCCAGTGAAAGGACAATCAGAAGTAATGCCTTCAAACTTCTGCCCGCACAAGCTGTGCCAACTGGTCCACCTGCTACATTTTCACTCCCTTGTGGGCAATATTTTCTCTCTGATTGGGAAGTGGGCGCTGTGGCAGGAATGCCTTGTACCTGTGATGGAATGTATCTGTGAAGAGGAGGGTGATGTAAGAGATCAAGGCTATCAGGAAAGAGAGGGTGCATTCCAGGAAGGGAAAAGACACAAAAGACAACACAGTCCTCAGGGGGAGCATGGGAAACATAAGAGGTCCAGGATAGCCACTCCCTAGAATCTCATAGAGCATATCCACTGGTTGCAGCAGTATAGATTTAATCTGGCAAGATTCTGTCTATAAGGTGCAAGCAAATAAAGGAATTTGACTCAACTGGACTGTTTCACCATTGTTCTTGGGCTGGGCCTGACAGTACCCTCCATTTCCTGATAGCTGCCCTGTGTGGCCATTTCCTCCTAAGCTGATGGATTTGGTGAACCTCTTCTTCCCCCCTTTATTTCATTGGTAAATAGTGTGCCTCTGATTTTTTTTCTTTTTCTTAGTTTCATTGGTCCACCAATGCACCAAAGAAAGTCTGGACTCTTTTTTAAAAAACAGTGGAACAATGACAGGTGGGCTTTCCTTTCTTGCTTGCTTGAGTGAAATAGACAAGAGTTCTGCTAGTGTCCCCTTCTAGCCTAATTTATAGGAAGAACAGTAAAACTGATTGTCCTTTTTAAGAAGATGAACTTTTCTTCTGGTTGAAATTGAGAAGTGTTCTGCCAGTTTCTAGCTGCAGAGACAAGAATTCTAAAACAGTGGTTGTTTTTCTTTTCAGTGTTTCTCAAAAGACATGCCCACAGAAAGGAAAAGGACTGCTCCTTGTTTTCTTGGCATGGGTGGAAGGGGTAAAGAAGCAGGGGAATACCCTGATCAGGGGCAGTGACAGAACTCCTAGTCCTCATCATGGCCAAAGTGGAGGACGGGGTGAAACCTGGAAAGGGAATTTTAACCTGCCTTTCTTTGGAGAAAACTGTACCCACAGGAGTCCAGCAGCTGAAGGTTGCCATGTAGATGAGCACGAGTCTGCCTCTCTCTTGTTAATGTGACCCGAAGTAGAGTGCCTGCAATCTGTTCTGCGTTTTCCAGCATGCACATAACACAAACATACACAGAAGCTATGGAAGAAGAGAGCAGACACACACACACACATGCGTGCACGCGTGCAGTGTGTTATTTTGTTATAGAGGAAAATACAGACACACCCTATGCCCACTGTTGGGGTTCCACAAGCATGCTCTACATGCTTTCCCTATCATGTTTCCCTTATGGTGTGTCCCAGCCGTGCCAGGTGGGTAGTCATTGCATAGAGAAATGCAGAATGAGCATGGGTGCGCTTTGGGTGACCAAAAAAAAAGGAAAAGAAAGGACTCTTCATAGCTTTGATCTTTTGCTTTCTTGTTTCTTCACAGTTCTGTTGACTTGTGACCATGCGTGAATACAACGAAAGCAAGGAGACATGTGTGACCATCTGTCTCAAATACCTGCTGTTCATCTTCAACTTCTTCTTCTGGGTAAGGAGCCACTATTTGGGGTACTTCCCTGCATCTTGCTTTAAATCTAGGGTATTTGGGGGATGCGGGAGTAATTAGGGTTCATTCAGTGTAGTATACTGTAGTGGCTAGAGTGTTAGATTTGGATTGCAGAGACCTAGTTCAAGTCCTCCCTCAGCCAGTTTCAGCTTGGCTTACCTCATAAGGCTGTTGCTATTGAAAAAAATGGAAGGAGGGAGTTATGTATGTTGCCTTGAGCCTTTGGAGGAAAGGCAAGATATAAATCGAATAAATAAATGATATATATTGGCCTTTATTCTGTTTTTAAGAATGACTGAGATAAGTCATTCAAGCAATCTTTTGCCTTAGAGTGTATGTACCGTTTCTACTCAAGAGGCTTGAAACTTTCTAGAAATATTGGTGACTGAAGAAGGTGGCATCTCAACCTTTCATTTTCTCAGAAGGTAGTTCTTCCTCTGACCTTAAGCCCCTGGATTATGTCCCTACACTGGATCAGGAGTTACCGTTTTTTTTACTCCTTGTTTGAACTGCCTGTGATACCTGCTGCCTAGTCTGGAAGCCCACTGAGAGAGTTTAATGATGGGGTCTGAGACAACATTTAGTAGCCATTCTATTGGAAGTTCCTTTAACGAAATGTAAAGGGAAATATAAAGGGTGTTTGTGTTCAGGCTATTTAATTAATTGTTCCTGTGCTTGTATGGCTCATATAATTTTTCCTAAATTGAGTTTCATGTCCTTTTATATCCATTAAGGAACATTAATGCCTTTGCCAGGCATTCTGAGATGTTACAAAATTCTCAATCTTGATTTCTTGATTGGGTTATGATAAATCACCAGAATTTATAACATAATACAGAAAAGAGTGAAAGTAAAAAATTGCTCAGTCTCGTGTTGAAATTAGTAAGAGCCCTTTCCTTGAGGAGTCAGCCCTTGGTGAACCATCTTTACAGTATGTGAGCCCAAGAAATGAGCCTTCTGGTGCTCTTCAGAGGTGTTCTGCTGCAACAGTGTTTTTCAACCTTGGCAACTTAAGATGTGTGGACTTCAACTCCCAGAATTCCCCGGCCAATATGTTCAATTCTGGGAGTTGAAGTCCACACATCTTAGAGTTGCCAAGGTTGAAAAACACTGTGCTACCATACCAGAATTTCTAGATGTAGTCCAGTGCATGTGGAGGACATCAAATTGAAGAATGTTGCACTGGGAAATTATGAGTGCAGATACATCTCACTCATCCTGTGTGTGTGTCTCTCCCTTTTTAGCTGGCAGGTGGAGCTGTGATGGCAGTGGGCATCTGGACTCTGGCTGAGAAGAGTGACTACATCAGCCTCCTGCAGTCCAATATATACATGGCAACAGCCTACATCCTGGTGGTGGCAGGTGCTGTTGTCATGATTACTGGCATATTGGGTTGCTGTGCAACCTTCAGGGAACAACGGAGCCTGCTGAAAGTGGTGAGTTTCTTTTACTTAAATGGACTACATCTGGAACACAGAATGGGAAGGACAGCATGTTTAGTCAGCGGAAGGCAAGATAAATTAGAAACAAAATCAAGATTTGGAGTGGCTCGAAAGAAGAGTTACTCTTTCTGTTTTGGATATTTTAGTTCATTTGTTGTACAAAGTTCTAAATATGGAATGGCAAAATACAAATCAGTTTTGCTCCAGTAAAATTATTTGGTGGGAAAAACTAGCATCTTTTTCTGATACAGTAAAAACAAATGTACAGAACCAGTTGCTTTGATGTACATGTGATATGACAAAGGGCAGGATAGTGGAGTCTTCCTCAACTTTGCAGTCTCCAGGCTGGCTGAGGTATTCTGGGAGCTGCAGTCCCAAACCATTTGGAGGGTGCCACATTGGGGAAGGTTGGTATAGCTTAAATACCAAGTCACCCTTAGGATATTTTTGAAGTTCTTCTAGCAGCTTGAGATGATGTTGGTGTTGGACATGGTTTATAAGCAGACCATTCCATTCTGGCTGCACACAAGAGCTCAGTGTGTTGGGAAATTATCCCTGTTTGTTTCTGTTCTCCAAAGCCAAAAATTACAGATTAAAAATTGGTATAGTCGTTTATCTTGTTTTGCCACAGAAAATGAATACTTGTCTCTTGGGGAAGAAAAGAGCCATTTGTTCCTGCTTTTTCTTCTCTAAGTGGCTGGCTGTGACAGGTCGATTGTCTCCTGACTTGTGGCCTGCAGTTCATTTGGTCAGCCAGGCTGGCTTTGGCTTCAGCTGTTTCTGCCAAGTCTGAGCTCAGCCCATATTTCAAGCATCTCAGTGACAAGAATAACGAGCTGTGCACTGGTATATCCCCATTTCTTTCTTACTGAACATTAAGATGAATGGATATGATGATTTGTGGTCCACCATGGTGAGTGAACATCAAAGGAGAAGTGCATCTCTTGTGGGGTTAATGTTTCAAATCTAGTATCAAATGTTCTTGCCTTGGGAAGGAGGCACAGACTTCAAAAAATGTTTTCTTCCTCCACCTCTGATGATGAATTCCCATTTCCTCTCCTGCTTCCCCCCTCCCACCGAGTCGGTCTGTAATGTCATTTGTTGCCATTCCAAGAGTGGGATGTTGAAGGGGAAGTCCTTATGATCCCTATAAAATGGACTGGCAATCCGTGGGCTGCACATAGGCCTTCTGGCCCCATCTTGCAACTTGGAGAGGACCCTGTGATCTCCCCATTGAAATCAGACAACATGATTTTTCAGCTACTTACATCCCTAAAAAATGCTAACAGATGCATATGTGAAACTTAAGGCACTTATTTAGAGCTTAAAAAAAAACAAACCCAGAGCTTAAACTCTTAACAACCACAACAAAGTTTGGACTTGTATACTAGTGATATCAGGCATGCTCCCCATGTCCTTGAGTTCAAAATAAACTCAAAATTAAGTTTCTCCTGCTGTGGAACTTAAGCCTATTGATGAATATTCTTCCTCTCTTCCACCTCACTTTAATAATGACCTGGTGGATACTTCTTTTTTTCCCTCTTTTTCCCTCTGTCAGAAATAGCTTTGATAAATTGTCACCCACATCTGAGCATTTATATTAGTAAGATGTGTACGTTGGTCTTTTTTGGGAGGAGGTTGGCACATTGCAAACAGAGGTTTGGGCTACAGCCAGAGGTTTTGTTTTGTTTTGTTTTTTGGTGCCTTCCAA